TTGGAACAAGAATAAAGGTGTTCAGATCAGACAATGCCAGGGAATATTTTGAAAAACACCTTGCCTCGTATCTGTTAGAATATGGTGTTGTCCATTAGAGCAGTTGTCCCTACAATCCACAGCAGAATGGTGTTGCAGAAAGGAAGAGTAGACACATTGTTGAGATTGCAAGAAGCATGAGAATCACATCTACAGTTCCAGTTCGGTTTTGGGGTGATGCAGTTCTCACAGCAGTATATTTGATTAATAGGGTGCCCTCTCGTATTCTTGGATTCAGCACCCCATTCAGTCTCCTTTTTCCTGAGGGGGAGATGTTTCATATTCCTCTCAAGGTGTTTGGGTGTGTCTGCTTTGCACATATCCTTGGTCCTCACCGCTCGAAGCTTGATCCCAAGGCAAAGAAGTGTGTCTTCCTTGGATATGCAGAAAATAAAAAAGGGTACTGATGCTATGATCCAGTCTCTGGGAGCCGGTATGTTACCATGGATGTCACCTTTTTTGAATCCACATACTTCTTCTCAAAGAATCCTTCTCAGGGGGAGTGTTTTGGGGAAGTGAGTCAGCAATCTATTCCTCTTCCAGTTTCAGTCCCTATGTCTACTCCTTTGCTTGACCCTCCTGTGTCACCTACCTTACCACCTCTTTTGCGTCTTGCTTCTCAGCATTACTTACGATAGAGACTTCACAAGGGGGTTGATTCCACTACAGTAGAACTCACATCACTTCCTGTTGGTTCCTTGGAGACTTCATATTCAACTGACATGGATTCAGGTATTCCTCTTGGTCCCGCTACTGTTTCAGTTCCCATTGATTCTACTAACCCTGTTACAGATAACCTTGATCTTTCTATTGCTCTTAGAAAAGGGAAGAGAAAGTGTATTGCTCATTGTATTTCACAGTACTTATCCTACAGTGGACTTTCTCCTTCTTACCGTGCTTTTCTTTCCTCTCTTGACTCTGTGTCTATACCCAAGGGTGTTAGTGAGGCTCTCTCCAAACCTGAGTGGAAGACAACTATGCAGGAAGAAATGGAAGCTTTGATTAAGAATCAGACATGGGACATTGTGGATCTACCAGAGGGCAAGGAGACAGTTGGATGCAGATGGGTTTACACAGTAAAATA